GCTGGACAGCCTCGGCGAATTAGTAGTTTCCATTGTATTTTCTGTTATCTCTATGTCATCTCTCGCGAATTTCCATTACATGTAATCCCAGAAGCAGCCATGTCGTAGGTAGCACTACTATGGAGCGCGCATTGAAGTCTTAAGTCCTAAACAGCCATGAAGCTTCAAATCCCAAGTCCGAAACATCCTTATGCATCCCTAAATATCCCTGCAAGTACATCCCTATGTGCTCTTTGAACCTCTAGCCCTAAGGGACATAAATCTTGGGTACTGCCCCCCCTCAGTAACAGTTGGATAGTAATCATATATAGCCCTTAATAGGACCCCTAATATAGACTGTTACTGGGTGGGGGCAGTACCCAACATAAATCTTCAGAAGTCTAAACCGTGTGGCTGCTGAGGTCGGGCAGCCCCTCCTCCCCTCGCTCACCGCAGCGCTTGCCGCAGCGCTTGCAGCAGCGCGCGCCGCAGGGCGGGCTGCCGGGCGCCATGCAGAGCAGGCGCATGCCTAAGAGTTCACGGCTCAGGACTTATGGGTTGTAAGGTCTAAGGTCTCAGATCAAAGGTTTCATGCAATTTGGGGACCTTAGTGTGTTTTGGAGGCTTCACCCAATGTTTGCACGGGAGATTTGCCAAGTAGGAATCCAGTAAAGGACACAGTTCCTGCAAGCCCGAGTGCAATCCCTTTCATCCTGTTCTGCGGAGGTTGCCAATGCCATCGGACGAGCTACTCGAGATGCCAGTGCCTGCGCCCACCAGCGAGAGCCGAGCAACTGAGGACTTGGCAAGCCGTGCCGGCGCTTGAGGGACAGTGCTTGAGTGGAAACGAACATGGAAATTAGTTACCATAATGGTTTCAGAGTAGGGGATTTTGATCCTCATAATGTGCCCAGAACATTGATCCCTTATAATCCCCTAACAATCCCCGAAATTTTTCCCTAGACGCACTCCCTGCGCCAAAAGATGTCTAAAGAAATTCCGGTCCACTTGAGTCGTGGGAGAGACCCGGGCAAGAGCTGACTTTAGCTTCGCTACGGCCTCCAGATCCACCCGAGGTTTCCTAAAATAAAGTGTTTAGGGTTCAGGGTTTAGGGTTCAGGAGTTTCCCAAAATTGGGGGCACCGTTTTGAGGGTCCCAAGAATAAGGACTATATTATTTGGGGGTCTAAATTGCGGTTCCCCTCTGATTTGGAAAACTGCCATATGTCCTCTTGTTTGATTAGTGGAGAATAGAAACCCCCGTATGAGCTAATGTTAATACTAGGGTTTCGGGTTCAGGGTTGTTTAGGGTCATGAGGAGGCCCTTAACAGTTGTCATACGGGACTCTCTTGTAGAGTATAGTCTCGAGTACAGTCCCTGATAAGGAACCCATGCCCAACAATTTATCTGAGAAATATTGACTGTAGCTCAGATACCCTTATACATCCCTACATATTCCCTTTGGGCTTTACTCTATGGTAAAGGAGTCGAAGCTCGATCGCGAAGCCGTGGTGCTGGACGCGTCCGTGCCGCCACAGCAGACCATAGCCCTGAAAGTTTTACCTAACTTAGTAGTTGAATATGTAACCTTCTACCCTGGGGGTCCACAAGTAGTTGCTTTCGGGCTAGGAAACGAAAGTCTGCAGCTAGGTTAAGAGTGGGATGATACATGTTTTTAGGAGAATAATGTTGTAGTGAGAACAGTCCTGATGGTCTGTATGGCTGTGGTAGACTGAATATCGATGAAGACGATCATTGCGCATGTCATCGACTAAGACCAGTGTCCTGGTAGTAAGGGTCAAAAGTTTGCCAGTATGGCACGGCACCCAGACCTCCTCTTGAAGGCAATCCCGCTACGTCCATACGCATGTGTATATACAGATGTACACCTTTGTACACACGCATGATGCGTGTATGTGCATCCACACACGTATACATACACATGTGTCTGTCCGTAAGAAGACCAGTGGTACTACCACAACACGTTGGGTTGCAGAGGCCATCGCAATACTTCTATACATGTAGCTGGAAGGAGGTACCAATGACGCGTGCTACGTAAACCCCCAAAACCTGGAACCCCCTGGAACCCACCTGGAACCGTAAAGGAACGTAGCTGCATGTGCTTCTGCCTGGAGGGTGCTGCGGGTTCTTCTGTCGCGCCGCTGTCTCTCAAGTGGTCGTGAAGAGAAAAGACGCGTAAATAACAACCCCCTTTCATGCAAGGGTCATCCGGCTAACCGAACTATTTTGGGACCCTAAAAGCTTGTTTTACTCGAGACTGCAGATATCTTTATTCCGACGGAGAGTGTCTGAGCTTGGCTGGCAGGTGTGCCCATCATCCCGATTTTTTTGGTATCAAACAGTGTTGTCTTTGTTAGCTTCTTATGGTTGGGGTCATCCTCTTGTGCAATTTTTCTAGGTTTGACTGAGCTTACCGTGACAGTTTGCTGAAGGCGACCAGCAGTCGCAACACTTGGACAGGAAAGACTCTTACAGGCCGCTCTTTCGACGGCTTTGCTGTTAAGGAACTCAAATTAAGTTACCATCATGGGTATATATAGTAGATAATAGGGTTTCCCCAGTCTGGTAACTTCAACTAAGTTCCTTAACAGCAGCCCAGTCTTTGAACTACATTTCGGGTTTGTAAAGGTAGGTGGGGGGCGGGCATTGAGGATTCCTGGTATGTGTAGGGGTTTTAGAGGGATGATGAGGTCTTGTTACAGGTTATCTACCCGTCATGTTGAAGACACTCAGTGAAGGAATCACGTCAAGATTCTTACAGTATTTTGGGTCGTGAAGGCTTGTTACAGCTTGTTCTAGTTTGGTACACTCTGCTGAATGATACAAGTGCCTTTCCTTCTCGTCTTTTTATGCCATGATACAAATGGTCTCGAAAACATCTATTCAAAGTCGTCAGGGCCTCAACACCCAAGCCATGTAAATTCTGGTAGTTTTCTCAGATAGGTTGCTTAAATCAGGTTCCACCTGTTCAGAAAGGGTCCCCGAAGAGGGTTTACTGTATGGATGCATTCCCTCACTTTCCCAATTATTCCAAGCAGTATTCTCAGACTTTCAAATTATTAGAGCCGCACGGTTTAAAGTTTCGGGTAAACCCTAGGGATCCAAATAGCCAAATGTAGGTAACATTTTCAGACTTCAGGGCCCGATGTAGGTATTAATTGTATACTTGGATCCCCAGGGAAGGGGTTGTTATAATTGAGCCAGTGAGTCTGCTCATGTCAAATCGCCCATGCACCCTAAACCCTAAACCCGCGTGGCAACCCTAAACCCTGAACCCTAAACCCTAAACCTCAAACCGAAAACCTTAAACCCTAAACCCCTAAACTCCTAAACCCTTAAACCTTTAAAACCTAAACCCTAAACCCCAAACACGTATACATATATATATATATCTCTCTCTCTCTCTCTCTCACTCTCTCTCTCTCTCTCTCTCTCTCTCTCTCTCCGTCCCCGGTTCACCTTTCGGCTCATGTTGGAGCCGGAAGGTGCCAATCAAAGGAAGTACACAGGTATATGAGCTATAGTCTCAACTCCTTACAGGGGGTTATATAGGGGATTATACGGGGACTACCATAGGGCTTATTAAGGGGGATACTAGGAGTTTAGACTATAGCTCATATTACCCTAAGGGTCCATGTACCCAATAATTAGGTCCTTTCAAAGGGGATATATGGGGGTATATAGGGGTGTATAGGGTTTAGGGTTCAGGGTCCATGTACCCAAAAATTAGGTATTTGGGTCTTGGGTAATAGTAATTATAGTACAGGTTTTGGGTAAGTATATGATTATTGAGTACTTGGACCCTTAGTGTGAGGAAGACCACCCGCCCTGTAATAGCGGTATAATAGGAATGTAATGGGACCTGAATGCAATCCTTATAACCCCTTATAGTAGAGGCGGAGAGATCGCGAACGCAACGACGCCGTTACCCCTAACCCTTTAATCCCTAAAGCCTGAACCCTGAACCCTGAACCTTGATGTTTCAGCAGCTGGCGCGTTCTCAATCGGCACAAGATGATTAGTTTCAGCAAGGCTGCCGGGACTCCGCAGCCTTGCATTTTCAAAGGCTGCGCACGAAACCAAGCGGTGCAACAAGCCAAGTTGCCAGGACTGTGCAGGACCAACACTGCATTTCATTGTTGCAGACGTGTTTGATGAGAATAAGCATACCCATTTTGGGGCCCGGGCCCCCAGGGGGTTTTGGGCAATTAAAACTATTAAAACAATTCCTATATAAGCCATTATAGTAGTTTCCATTTTATTTTCCATTATCCCAATATAATCCCAATATACCCCTGATATTACCCCCATTTTCTACTCCTAAGGGAACCTTGGCGAAAGGGTGGAAGTCGGCTCCGACGGCTGCCTCGGATGTGGGGACGCCCAGCGACATGGGGCCGGGATACCCCCGCTACCCGCCCTACTTGGAGGGTCAGGGAGACTTAATAAGTAGATTAATCATGGGGATAACCACGGTGACTATATGGATTATAGGGGTTACTAACCACTTACTAAGTCCCCCTGACCCTCCAAGTATTCACCCCCCTCCCAGTTGTAAGGGAGAAAATAAGAATGTTTTCACCTTCTTCTTTTCTTGAAGCCGTCCAACACGCCCCCCAGAGGTCGGTAGATTCTAAACTTTATACCTTTAACTCTAAACCCTTACTTGCGCCCTAAACCCCAAATCCCTAAACCCATAAAACGCTGAATCTTAAACTGCTAGGCCATTTGCAGAAGCGCCCATCTGCTGTTCACCTGGAGTTGGATGGAGAGCTAAGAATTGGCCTGGAGAACGACTCCGAGCAGGCTTCTGCCTTTAGGGCTAGGTAATTTGTAAGCCATAGTCTAAATTCCTTAAAGGGGGTTATATAGAGGATTATATAGGGGACTGTGAGGGGGGGTTATTCAAGGAGAATCCGAGGAGTTTAGACGATGGCTCATGTACGGGCTCAGGGCTTGATGCTGAGTTTGGAAAAGATAGGCCCTGACTTCAAGAAATTTGCGTGATCACCTCTATCACCTCTTAACATGATCACTCAGAATGCTTCCCAAGTCCTGAGCACTAAGCTCGAAGCCCTAAACCCCGAGCCCGGAACCCCAACCCATCTCAAAAACAACTAAGCCCTATACCCTAAAGCCAAATTAGCATAAGTGGCTTCTATTTTCTTCTCCATCCTCTATGGATCCCCTGTACACCGCAAAGCTCCTACGCCCCAAGCCCTCAATCAATTAGACCTTTCTACACCCTTGATTGAATCCTAAACCCTAAAACGGATGATGGAACGTTTCAGGGACGCCTACAAAAGCGCTAGTCTACCACGGGTAGGCCATGAAACAAAGAATTGATGACCATGCGTCTACAAGCACAAGCTTTGGTTCTCAGACGTCGGGTTTAGGGTGTCAGGTTCAGCATCTCAAGAACAAGCATTCCCTAGTTCAGCAAGGAGGTCGTGTAACAGAGGGGGACCCACCCGCCCATACAATCCCCTAACACGAAGAACATATGGGGCATAAAGTCTTCTGTTTCAGCCACCCACATCAACAAAACGTAAGGTTTTCTGTTTTGGTACGCTCCACTCAGTCGTCGTCCCCCTTTGATGAAACAAGCGTCCGACGTCTAACCGCAAAAAAGGAGAAGTCTGACCGTCAAAGCGGGGAAGCCTTACCGTACAAACGGAGAAGTCTAATCGTAAAAGCGGCAAGTCTCTAACCGCAGAAGTGGACAAGCCTAAGAGCAAAAGCGGCGAAGTCTGACGGCAAAAGTGAGAAGTCTAGCCGCAAAAGTCGAGAAGTGTAACCACAAAAGCGGAGAAGCTGGAGGCGTTTTGGGGAGGCCTCTGGGAGGACCCTCCTCTGGAGGAGCCATATTACCCTAAACTTTAAACCATGAAGCCCTAATCCGCGATCCATAAACCATTATTTGCAAGTCAGGGTGCGCCTCGTTCACAAGCCAGATTTACTTTACGCACAAGTAGGACTTACGCTATGCATACATAACTACATTGTTTGCCACATTTCGTAGGCTTTAACTTTTACGACCGATTTATCTTGTGCACAAGTAGGGTTTACTTTCTGCACAAGTCGCACGTACCGTATGCACAAGTCAGATTTACTTTCTGCACACGGGGTTTCATGCACAGGTCAAGTAACCCTGTGCAAAAGTAGATTTTCTTATGCGCGAAAGGATTCACCTTCTGCAATAGTCAGTGTTTTTTACGGGTTCTTACCTTACGTGCAATGCTTATATACATATATATATATATGAGAGACAGGATTTAGTGTTTACGCATGGTTTAAGTTTAAGGTTTTAAAAAAATATTGGGGTTTGGGGGTTTTCTGGTTTGCGTGGCCCACTTGGGTAAGCAGTGAGCAAAGCCTTTCATTGCTGTCGCCTATTTGCGTGTGAACGCATGTCGCATGTAAGGGCTGCAAATTGACTCTACAAGAAACAGGCTAAACGCTAGCCCCTTGCTACCAAACTGCTAAATCCCCTAAGCCCTAAGCCCCAAATCCTAAATCAATACACCCCTGAAACTAAAGCCCAAAACCCCAAAACCTTAAGCCCTAAGCCCTAAACCCCTCTCAAACCCTAAACCCAAAACACTAAAGATCCAAAACCTTTTAAATACAGGTGAAAACTGCAAGCCAGTCCCTCGCCAAGCCCGGGCGCCTGCCGCGAGCTATCAGCCAAGATGCCCTCGAGGCGAGGTGCTTATGTTGTACGTTTCGAGTTTTAGGGTTTTAGGGGTTTATGGTTTTAGGTCTAGGGTTCAGGGATTTAGGGGTTTAGAGTCATAGGGTTAGGGTGTTAGGGGTTTGGGGTCTAGTATTGTAGTGTTTAGGGATTTAGGGGTTCAGAGGTTTAGGGTCTGGATCAGTTGTGGGGTGAGGCACAGACATTTAAGTGTGAAGGTTTTGGGGTTTAGGATTTGGGGTGTGAAAGGTTTGGGGGTGCAGAACTTTAGGGGTTTAGAGATGGGAGATTCTTAGATGTAAGGTTTAGAGATTTCAATGTCAGGGGTTTAGAGTGTAGAGATTGCGGTGACGAGGTTCAGGGATTATACTTGTAGAGTTTAGGTATCAGGCTTCAGGGTTAGGATATGGGGCGTAGATGGTAGCCTCAGCGTCCTGTCCTATTGCGACTGAGGCATATTGCATTTCCCGAAATTGTCTAGACACATGCAGTACAGGTCATCGGTTATCTATGCGTGTGCCGAATATTGTGCTACAGCAATACTGAAATTAGCTTCATTTCCTAGAAGAAGGCCTGTTGCTCTGAAGCCCAAACCCTGTTTACCAAACTCTCACCCCTAAGCCAGAATCCGTGAACAAGCCCAAAATACGCAACCTAATTAAACACCAAACGCTACATCACTCTACATCTTCCTCCGTGTCCTGATATACTCCCCATATACCCCCATATGTCCCATAGATCTTAAACACTAAACCCTATAAACCCATATCCTGTCCAGCTGAGGACCCGCAGAACATTGAAGGGCTGTCTGGCACCGTGGCCGGGACCCCGACCCCGAAGCCAACATCTGCTGCCTTGGCAGATGCCGTGGACTCGCCGAGGAGTTGGGGAGCGGAAGCCTGGTGAGAACAGATGGGACTTAATGGAGATGATCTAGGGGTGTCTCTATTTATATATATATACATACATTTTTCCATTTTTGTTGTTTGTTTGGTTGGTTTTCTCAGGAGTGCGGGTGTAGGGCTAAGGGTCCGGGGTTTAGGGTTCAGGGTCCGGATGATATGCAGATGGGGGGGTTCCATAAATCAGGGTTCCGTATCATGCCATTTTTGGGTCATTTTGGGGGTCTATCTTGGGGCCCCGCCATGTTTGGAAACCTCCATACAGGGCTGCATAGGCATACAAGGGCCTAGGGTACGTGCAGCCCGAAACAATACGGAAGGAATTCCTTTCTAGGATGTTCTTGGAGAGGATCAGCCCTAAGCCTTAAACCCTAGGGGCACCATGGGATATACAGGCATGCATAGGGTTCAGATATGCGCTTCCATACACTACCCCAAACTTACTGGTTCTTAGCAGGGAATACTGGAATATAATCCCTATTTATCCCTATAAACTCCCTATGCCATGTATTCCCTTATTGCCAGTACACAAACTTCGCAAAGTGGGCCAACATCGTAGTTTGGGGAGGGTGCGCGCGCCAGCTAGCATAGTTTCAGGATCCTTGCGCAGCAGTCTCTATGGGGTATGGTACATTGGACAAAACCGAGCGTGATATGACATTTCCTATTGCCTGTGGACGCTTGGCGGGAGTTTTCCTGGTGCATCCTTGGCATATTCACCACTATCAGGATTTGATGAAGTGTAGAACGGCCGAAGCATGAGTGCTCCCGGTTTACGAAAGCTAGAATGTAAGGCAAGATGGCAGGTTGCCTGCAACTAGATGTGGCGCTGAGGAACTCGAGGACATGGACAGACTGTTTGAACTGGAGCCTTTGCTGCAGTTGTATCATTCATGGCGTTCTAGGTGTTTCTTCCCAGTGTTCTCACAGAAAATAACCGTGGCCCAACATGGGAGTACGTTGCGGGCCCTTTTTCATTGTCAACAGTTTCATAGACTCCGCCCTGATTTGGTTATGCTCCGTCAGATGGCTGCCGGGCAGCGTCCAGCCGAAAACATCGCTGAGCGCATCCAGCATGCGCAGATTCAGGTGCGACATGGCCAGCAGTGGCAGGGCTTGACCACCATGACAAGTACTTGTAGTCATGTTGCTGCTGCTGGTGGTGCTGGTGTTACTCCTCATTGCTGTGATGTTCTGCTCCCATTTGATCACTTCCCCAACTCGATCTTCCTTCTTCTTGCTTCACCGGGAGCGTGTTACGCAATGCAATGCCAGCCTGCGATTTTCGTTCGATGTCAGTTGTTCCAGTGATTCAAAGAATCGTCTTGCCATTGAAGCTGTCCTTCTGTCATGCGGAATGCAATGTCGTCATCCTTCATAGGGTGATCGTGAAGGGCTCATTTGAATCGTCATCATCATCGTCGTCGTCGTTGTCGTCGTGCGTATCATCTCTCCTGCCAGTATGAGAGGTGGCCGAATTGAAGTCAGTGTGCCTCTCCGATCCCAAGCTGGTTGCATTGTTCGCCTGCTTCCCCCAATTCAGAATCGAAATTGCAGAAGCAGTCTGAAATTTCAAGCAAGATTCAATTCAGATCGTGTTTGTCAGAGAGAGAGAGAGAGAGAGAGAGAGAGAGAGGGGGAGAGGGAGAGAGAGAGAGGGAGAGGGAGAGAAAGGCGGGTCACGAGGGGTGTCCACAAGCCTGCCTGAGTTAGATTGAACTTGAGCTAGGTCAAGGGCTCAAGGATCGGTTCTCACAAAGATGTTATCTCTGTGGGAGGTGCATGGGCTTTGGTTCTGATAAGCAGCGAATAGGCCTGCCCTCATCAAACCTGTACCTTGCATGTAATTCCAGCATGATCTCCACCTAAACCTGCCCTAAACCCTAAACCCTAAACCATAACAGAATCACTGTGGAGCCCACAGCTTTTGTACTCCGCAGAATTCCCCCGGAAAAGTTACCGGTGACGGCAGGAGGACGAGATTCCTGCGCCGGACTGGGTGGATTCCTGGGTGAGCCAGCAGGCCGTATGTCCGAATTGTTTGCTTCCGGAAGGGCTTCTTTCATTAGTACTACCTACCATAGGGTTTAGGGTTTGGGTTTGGGGATTGTGATGGGTACTGATACTACAAGTCTTGGACTGGATCTGATGGTGCAGTCACATAGCTGTTTTTCTTAAAGGGATCCTATACAGAATAAGAACATACCTTAGGGTTTGAACAACCACCACATGCATTTTCCCCTTTGCAGCCTTAGCTTGGTGGTCAGGGCTGCGTGGCTGGATGAGTGTCCCAAGTCCTGGGCCTTGAACGCTAAGCCCTAAAGCCTGAACCCTAAGCAGCATGGAGATGCATTTGTGCTGAAAGCGCATGACTCACAGGGTTGCCAGAATCCCCTTATCACCCCCATGTGGGAATTTCTGCCAAATTAGGCGTACGTTTTGGAGGCACCCAGAACAAATATTGAATATGTTGGAGTCTGTATTGGGGTCCCCCTATTTTGGGAAGCTGCCATATATCCCCAGGGTCCTGAAGGCACTTATTTTTTAAGACTCCCCAATGTTTTGGGCACTTATAAAACCTAGTTTTCGGCCAGGCAGGCAAGGAGGCTTGGACTGTGGTCTCCTTAGGATTTGTTTTGTTCTTTCTTCTAGTATAGCACCGAGAATTATTCAAAGCAGTATTTCTATTTATTCAAAAGATTATTTCTATGTATTCAAAACAGTATTTCTATTATAGGTCGAAGGCGGCTACAGTGGCGTGCAGCGCTGCTTTGGGGCCGGCGGCCGGCTTGTTTATCCCGGCTTTGTGTGCAGGACTTCCTGGCCGATTACGACGACAGCCAGTGGCGTCAAGGGCGTGGCGGCGGGAAGAGGACGCTGTCACTTTGCAGCAATCTACTTTGTCTGAAAGCTTCCAATTGACTTGTGCCTTGGATGCGTGCGGATGAGGTCTGATGCTGGCGGGTCGTCTGTGCGGCTTGGCGGTAATGACGGATTCCAGGGAAAGGCATGTGGACGGACTCTACAAATGCTACACTAATCATTTAGCAGCAAAGCAAGTGGCATGTTGCAGGCCCCACGCGCAGCAGAAGCAGCAGCCGCAGCTGGCGGTGTATTCGCTGACAGCACAGGGCGAATCTGGACCCCATGTGGACATGCAGGGATAGATGTACGACATATGTAGGCTTCAGGGACCAGGGTTTAGGGTGGTTCTTTAAGTGAGCATCGCCTACGGATGATAAGGGGATCACTGGGATCTATATTCTAATTACAAGCAACTCCTAGAAGCATATGTGCGGACATCAGGCTTGAGAAGCCTTGGCAAGAATCTATGTAGCAGCCTGAATAGCTACCAATTGTTAGCAGTGTATGCCTGTATGCCGTCTGTATACTGTTATAATCCTCATGTTACAACAATTTTACTACTTCAAGACCTTATTCTAATTATTGAAGCATTTGCCGCCATGCTGGCAGAAGTGCCAATGGCTGGTGCATGTCACCAGGCGAGCATCTCTAAAATGGGCTCCACCTAAAAGAAAAAGGAAACTATGCATAGGAGGATTATGTAGAATTAAGGGTCTAAATAGGTAGAATGGAAAAGAACATGGAAACTACTACCCTAAAACCTAAAACCCTAAACCCTAAACCCCTAAACCCTAAACCCCTAAAACCCTAAACCCTAAACCCTAAACCCTAAACCCTAAACCCCTAAACCCTAAAACCAAGGATGCCACTGAATCACATGTGGACAGGACATGGGGCCAGAGCTTTCAAGGGCGCAGCGAAGAAGACCAAGGGAAAACCATCCCGATCACCAGAGAAGAAGGTTGGTGTAGGGTTTAGGGTTTAGGGTTTCGGGTTTAGGGCTTGGGGTTTAGGGATTAGGGTTTAGGGCTTAGGGCTTGGGTATTAGGGCTTAGGGCTTGGGTTTTAGGGCTAAGGGGTCATAATTCGGGTTTTATAAGTAAGGGTTGTAATAGGTAGGGGTTCTCATATGGGTTCTGATAAGGTTTCCACTAGCGGTTCTGATTGGCTTAGGGTTTATTGGATCACGCTTTCTTTCGGAGTTCCAATCTAAGAAATGGATTTGGAAAAGCCAGAGGGTTTTTATAGGACTTGATCCTAGTTCCAGGATCCCACAAAACCATTTTGGGATGTAAGAACATTGCTGTTTATGGAAGCTTACCAGTTGACAGTTTCACGCCGCCGTTTGCTGCATGCTCTCTGTCCTGCTTATCGTCTCTGGGAGCGGTCCCTTCTAGACGCTGAGGTAGTACAATCCTGATTATAGGAATTGCCGAAAGGTAGTTCTGTTTTTTGGGATCCCCGGTGCCCCTACATACAACCTCCCTAAACCCCAAACCGTAAACCCTAGACCACAACTCCTTTAAAGTGGACCTTCATTTGGGGAGCCAGGCCCCTTTTGGTGCAGATGCCGCTTTTCCAAAGGCCGTGGCCACACCCAGGCTGAACGGCATGTTGCTGAATGAAGAAAAGGGCTTAGGGTAAAGTTTATGGGGGATTAGATGGGGTCATTTAGGGTTACAAAGGGCCTATGAGAAGATATCATAGGGATATACGAGGATGAGGGGAAAGTTGTTTGAATTTTGGCCTCTAGTGTACTACGGCCTTTGATATGCGGGGTGCGCCGGAACGGACCATAATTTTGACAGCCCTCGAGATTTGGGTTTCAGGGTTTAGGGGCTCAGGCCTTGGGAGTTTCAGGTTTAGCGCTAAGAGTTTTAGCTTGTTTCATGGTGCTGTGTCCTGATGTGAGCTATAGTCTAAACTCCTTAAAAGGGGTTTATATAGGGGATTATATAGGGGACTACTATAGGGGATATTAAGGGGGATTCTAGGAGTTTAGACAGTAGCTCATGTGGAGAACATCTTTAGCGGTATACTGTGAATCATGCTGTTGAGCAATGCCCTTGTGTTGCAATCTGCACTCCTTCGCACATTGACGAGCCATCTCTGCGCTGAGGCATGCGAGGGTTTAGGGCTTAGAGGTATAAGGGATGAGGATGTAGGGGTTTGGGAGGATTTAATCTTTAGTGGTTTATGGCTTAGTGGTTTAGGGCTTAGGGTTTGGGGTGAGCTCGCCAGCAACTGCAGCTTCTGTGCCATGTCACATGGTCAGGACCTAATTAGGGATTTTGCGTGCTGCATGCCGTGCCAGGCAGCCAGAGTCTTCACGAGAGGACATGCCTGAACAGTTGTCCGATGATTTTGTTGCTACATTGCTACGGAATGCTCAGCTAGTCTTGAAAAGTGCTCCCAATTCTTCAAACCCTAAACCCTAAACCCTCCCTTGCCTCATTTCCTACTCGCCACCAGGGACATCGATTCTAGTTTTACCGCCTTGCCCCCGAAAGGACAGCAAAGCACAGCCAAGCAAGCCTTCAAGGCCCAGGCGCAATGATCTTTTTGCCTCCAGCTCTAGGTCGTAGGGTGTGCGTGGTGATGACTTCATAAAAAGAATTATCTTCCACCATCTTATTTTGTCCTGAGCCCCTTAACCCTAAACTCGATCTGCCGAAATGCATTCCGTCTCGACCTCATCCCTGAGCGACCGAATAGGGTTTAGGGTTTAGGGTTTAGGGTCAGACAGACTTAGTAAGTAATTCAATCAGGGGGATGACATGGGATGATTGAGGTTACCATGTGGGTACACTTACGAAGTCCCCCTGATCCAATGGAATGGTCTCCATTTTCCTTCCACTTTCCCTACATCCTTATATCTCCCTGTACATTCCCTTTGGAAAGCTTTTATATATCCCTGTACACTCCCTTGGAAAGCACCCTAAGTCCGCCTCACCCACCAAGTGCAGGCCAGCCGGCAAGGCCGAAATTGCCAGCGAGGAGCAGAGAACCCCTAGGGATGCGAATCCGGTGGATCTCCAAGGGTCAGAGGAGATCATGCAAAAGCTGCTGGGACGAAGGCCAGGCCCTGGGGCTCCATGTCTATAAATAATGCTTGCATTGGGCCCCATTCTCTATAAATAGTACCTACATTGGGCCCATTGGAGCCCCTAGCGAGAGGGAAGCGCAAGATTGAGTTGTGGTGAACATGCTGCTTGTAAGTAGGGAATGGAGGTAAGGATCCCTACAGTAGCCCCTATACAACCCCCAGGGTTTAGGGTTTTAGGGTTTTAGGGTTTTAGGGTTTTAGGGTTTAGGGTTTAGGGTTTAGGGCCTATACAACCCCTAACACTATGGTAGCTTTCCATTTTCTTTTCTATTCCTTCATGCCCTATTGACAGCCAGCGAGTAAACGCCGAGGAGATGATGCACGCGATAGCTGGAAGGGTCCTCTAAATAGTAGTTTCCATTCTCTTTTCCATTATCCCTACACAACCCTTATGTAATCCCTGTATAATCCCTAAAGCCTAAACCCTAATCCCTAAACCCTAATCCCTAAACCCTACATAATCCCTATATATTCCCTAAACCCTAAGCCCTAAACCCTAATTTCAAAACCCTATAGAATCCCTACATGTTCCCTAAACCCTAAGCCCTAAACCCTATATAATCCCTATATATATTCCCTAAACCCTAAGCCCTAAACCCTATATAATCCCTATATATATTCCCTAAACCCTAAGCCCTAAACCCCTTGCAAGGGTCACCGGACCAGCTCGCTTGATGCAAGCATCTGCTGCAGGCTGACAGAAGTGGCTTCACCGGCGCCTCCAAAGTTAAAGGCTTCGATTTAGGGTTTAGGGTTTAG